GTTACCCTCCAAAATCGAAGACAGCATGCGCAAGACTGGATTTGCCCTTGCTTGTTGTGCGTCCTGCTGGCTCAGCAGCGCGCCTCAAGGGTCCCCTTCTTGGGCACGTCCAAGCGTCCGTTTGGAAGCAACCTTTTGGAAGCAACCTTCCGCGCGGCGCTGGCAATAGGGCTCGTTTCACGACGCTCTTCTTGCGATCCTTGGGTTTCTGTGGCGCTGTTTTCTTGTAAAACGCCTTGCTCCTGGCGGCCACCTTCGGCTCTCCCCACCCCCCTCAAAGCGACCTGCAAGGTGAGCCGTGGCCCGCATGCCAACATTTGTCCTACTGTGTGCCAGCGCAGGCTTGCAAGCCACCGCCGGACAAGGCGCACACCCGATGTCACGACTCAACCTTGTGGATGTCCCATGTGAGGTATGCTCAAGAACACGTGAAACTAAATATGAGGAGAACACATACGCCCCTCATGCAGTCGCGTGGCTGCACCCAGCATTGGTCTGCCCACCATTCTCCTTGCTTCACCTTGGCTAACAAACAACAAGGGGTTGATGAAGACAGGCACACTCCAAAGAAGATGAGTAGCCATTCAGCTCAACTCCATGCATGCATATATACATAATATACACACACTTATATATATATATGTATATATATATATATAGATTTATCGTCTACGTATATACATACATGTATATACATATGAGGCACGGTCGAAATTACTTACTTGCGGCCGTTTCGCTACTTAGTTTGAGAGTCCCCTATCGTTTTCCAGCTTTTCCATCCGTTCCAGGGGTATCGTTTTTCGAGAGTCCCCTATCGTTTGCCACGGTTTTGTGCATCTTCACAATATCAATGGAACACCGAATACTAAACTCAACAGAAGTAATTTTGACGGTACTTCATATATATTAAAAAAAAAAAAAACACATAATACATACGGCAACTGCGGATCTACGTACATGTTTATGTATAGCCGTACTATGTACGTATTTGAAGGCATATGCACACGTATAAAATGTGCATATATGCATATACATATACAGACACAAGCTTGGCTTTTGCGCTTGCAAAACTGGTTGGCCAGTTTGGCATCGTGATTGCCCATCCCAATTATATAAGGAAGGCACCCTAGATAGTCGGACCAGTGCGCAAAGACTGGCCACACGCTGCGCTTGTACCCGCGCGCGAAACCCAGAATCAGAGCGCGAATGGCTGTGCACGTTGAATACTACTAGCGAAATTAAGCCATAGCCGTGATTTGTGCTCGTGGGCTCTTTATGTCAACACTCAAAGAAAATACCTCCAATGATGGTAAAATGCGTGATCATCTATGCGGTAAGGCAATTATTGCTGGTGTTCCCCGAGTGGGCATGTTAGTATAGCCTCACAGCATCTCACAGCCACAAAGCAAGCAAAGAAGCCTTCCTGCTGCGGCCAGTTCCCTAGCCACTTGCAAAGCACGGGCTTCTGTTTGCACTGTATCATAGACATCTTGAGGTGGGCCTCGAAAGGTAACTTGTTACATATCTGAAATCATGCGATCAGTAACTTCTCACCTGTAACGGCTGCGCATTCAATACGAAGACGCACGCAGGAACACAAGCTTAGCAACTGCTGCAACCTCGCCACATAGCCCGGCGCCGAGCAAGCTCAACATGGTCATGAATCTCAGCCGTGAAACTCCTTCTTTGAAGGCTCTCTGCTTGGCTTCTTCCAGCTGCTTCTTCCACTTGTTCTCCTGGTCAGAATCCCCAAAAGGCGCTCCCCGCCCATTACCCTGGGGGCAAAGGACGGCGTCCCGAAAGCCAACGAGCCACGGTCCAACGAATCCAACGCTTGCCTAATTGCCAAGCGGGATCTTAAACAAACCCCCCAAAGGAGGAGGGGTGCAAATCCCAAGAAAAGCACTAATGATGCAACCAGTCTAGCAGCTTAGGCAACCGTGGAATGTGGAATGAAGTATCACTGGCTGAGTGCCTGCAAAGCTCCCAGGAACACCCGAACGCGCACATGCCCACACGCCCACACGCCCACACCACACCCACACCCACACAACACACACACACACAGGCGCGCGTGCAGGCATGCAGGCAGGCAAGTAGGCAGACCTTCGCGCGCACACACACGCAAACACTCGAATCACTGAACAGCTTGCTAACCCAAAGATCTTGCGGCTGAGCCAGCAGCAGCGGCCTCTCGGGCTTTTTCCCGCGCTTTCTTCTCCTCTTCCTTCTCCCATTGCCTGCCAACGCAAGCAAGGGACCCGACTGGCCCTATCATTGTGAACTTGTCACAGTCACCAACGTCGTAGGTTGAAGGTCAGTGACCGCAGATCCTAAGAACTGCCATAAGGTCGACGGAACACCATAGGACGACAAAGATGCATCCACAAAGCCAATCCGGAGCCACCCATTCCAAAAAAAAAGTGTGCCTCTTCTTCTCTTGCTGCCAGAGGTCATGCTTTTGAGCTTCCTGCGCCTTCTTTTCGCGCTCCTGCAAACTGTGAGGGTCTGGACATCCCACTGGAAGACTGAGACCCCAGTAGCTAGACATTGACATGATCTTGCCTCTGCTTCTGGCCGCACGACACCATCGGACATCTTTTCAAAAGAACCCCCTCAATGAATGTGGACCACCCTCACAATACATTAGCCAGCGAGTGAAGCTCGCTGATCTGTAAGCGTTCCAATGAGAGATTGAAACACGTGGCTTGCACGTCATCAAGCACCAGCAGGATTAAGTTTATCATTCGAACCCCTTCTGGCAGCATTTGGTTCGGCCTTCTTCTTCTGCTTCTCCCGTTCAAGGTCGGCTGGGCCGCTGCAGCCAGTTGCCCTGGCGAGAAGTAGGTCCTCCCCTCGCAAGGTCTGCAGGAATGCCTCCTGGAAGCCGCATGGGTTCGAGGCAGTAAGCAGCTCGGTAGCGGGCCGGCTGAATTCATTGAAACGGTCCGACTCAAACCAAATCAATCCGACCAAGAGTTCTTCAAAGCCTGGCTTGGGCTGTGACCTCGGGCCCACTTCTCACCATCTGCAAAGAAGCCCACCCCAGTTTCACCCTGTGGGCACTGGTGACCACTGCCTAGGCCTGGTGGCCAACGCGCAAAACCGACCTAAGTCAAACAGGCCTACGACATACCCACAACCCTGAAAACGAAACATGCTCTCCTGCAAAAATACTTGAGGAGGCGACTGCAAGCCAAATCTAGCAAGTCGATGCACACACCAAGCATGCACGACCAGCCAACCAAACAAGCAACCAAGCAACCAACAAACACACAAACAAACACAGCAACACACAAACCTGCACAAAAATGCACATGCACAAAATTGCATGCCAACAACCGGCAGCCAAGCCGGACCAGGGCATTGCGCCTGCCTCAAGGCTAAGCTGCCCTGATTTGACACTTGGAATCTTCCCAAATGTTGTCGAGTGCTCCCGTGTGCTTACTTTGCTCACCTAGCCAACCCCAGCTGCAGCCTTTCGGGCTGGGTTTCGCGATTGCCGCCTCAACGCCTGACACTGCTTAAATGAGAAGCACCTACTTCGGAGCGGAAGAAATGCAAACAGGAAGCACAACGCCACCAGCAAAGTTGAGAATTGAGCGAGGATCACATGGCTGTGCGTCAAACATATGTAACCAAAATGGAATCCTGGTAAATGGAAACGTGGACCAAAACCTGCGGTCCCCTGGCGGTTTAGTTTTTGAGCCATACCCACATGCAGGCTTGAGGGGGGATGAGGGTCTCGGGCCAAACTCCCAGACTTTCGTAACCAGATCTTGTTTCAAACCAGTCCCAGCGAATTTGGTGTTGAACGCACACAGCATGCATTCTTGCCTTTGCTCGGAACAATGGAAAACACAACCTCGAACCACCTGAGAAAAGGCAGCCAGAAAGCAACAGGAAGCTCCACAACATTCTGGAAACCGCGCCAGTGCATGCTGAAAGCTCGAACCAGGGGGAGTCACATTACAAACTCCAGTTGCAGTCTTTCAGGCTTGCTTTCGCAACATCTCGCTGTTTGGAGCCATCCTGAGTGGAGATCTGAAGAATGGGCGCGGCCGGCTCCGCAGCTTTTGTGCCCGACTTCTTCCCCATCCTCAGCGATGGAAGCAGGAAGGCACGACAAGTTGAGTAGCAAGGGCGCCTGCTCTTGTCAATGACACAGGCGAGAGGGTTCGAGGGAAAACCCCGCGAACCTGTTGACATGAAACTTGCCTGAGAGCCTGCCTGGTCCTAGACTTGCGGACCGGCGTGTCCGCGGATTCACTGGGGACTAAAAAGCGCTTGATGAGGCAACGTTCTCCTGGGCAACTGCCCACATGCGACGAGGGGGAGCGTGAAACACCAATGCATGTGTTGGCCATGCTTCTTGTTTGTATATTCTACCCAAAAGTGACACCTGCTCAAAGAATGTGTGCGTGTGTTTGTTTGTCACATACGGCTGTGCACTTGTGGCATCTACTCTCCGGTAAGGGCGTGGAAACCAATTTGAAAGTGTTTTCCAGTGCGAGCCCTGCCGTGCATGATTGTTTTTTTCGTGCAGTGCATGCTTGAGATAATCCTAAAATTACCCCGAGCAATGCGCAAATGGCTCGAGCTGAGGGCAGACATTCGATTGCTTCATGCAGGCTGGACTTCACTCAGTCCCAGTTCGGCCAAGGCTCGTTGCCTAGCAGCGAGGATGAATACGAGACGTGGGCCGGTGCAAACACAAGATCGCCACTTGTTCGAGTTTGTCCAGTTCTGCTGCCTTTGGCTGTTCTGGATTGGTTGGCATGTTGGGCTTGTAGGTGATGACGCGGCTTGAGCCGAAACGTGCAGTCAAGCAAGGAAGCAAGGGCATTGCAATTCAAACTGACTACTTGGTGCATCGTGTGGGAACTTTGGACAAGTTGAGTGCTCACCTCCTTGACTGCGAATACAACGGTGAACTCCAAAAAACCACTTGCTTCTGGCCATTTGTCTGGCATCTCTTACCATTTGCCCTGCCGAGGAGCCATCTCCGCTTCATAGGGGTTGGAGGTGCTCATGTTGGTGAAGTCCCGCTCTTCAAAGGGGCCTGGCCCTGTGTCGAAAAGTCCTCAGCACCAAGTGCCGTGCGAAATGCCAACAAAATACCATCTCCAAGTGCAGCCTCACAAATTGCACATGCTCTCGTTTGTCCAAAAAGGGCTCAACTTGAAGCCTTGGCTCGGATGGCAGTGTCAAAGTTCCAGTCTCGGTCAGGCGCGTGGATAATGTCCTGCAAGCAATCACGCTCCCGCATACGACCCGGAAACACCCCGTCGCACAGGAACCTCCTTGACAAAACCTGCTAGGGCTCTAAGTAAGCAAGTAGAATCGGGGCAAAGCCACACTTGCATGGACATCTGGGAATGGCCAGCTTGCTCACGACTGGGCGCGACACGTGCAGGAGTGATTTCATTCCAACGATCCTTGATGACAAACACATCGAGACAAGCCCATGATCAAGGGTTCACTGATTGCAGGGCTTCCATACACGCGCTGCCCAGGAAATCATGGCCTTTTTGCCGCCACCACCAGGCAAACATCGGTAGCTTGCTCGTGAAACACGACTGTGGAAAGGGGGGGAGGTGTTAGTGGCGGCGGCGGCAGAGTCTAACCACCTCCTCCCTCCATAATATCCTGAAATAAGAGACAAGAAGAAAGCAACATCAACTAAGCGAGCAGAGCAAAGTCAAAAGAAAGACAAAAGAAAAGCCCTGCCAACAGAAACAGTTGCAGGCTTCGAGTTGTTGGACCCGCCAGGAAAACACACATTGACAACTACCGTGAAGCTTGCCATCTTCCGTATCCCCAGCGCCTGCATTTGGCGCTCCAGCTGCATAACAATCTCCTGGGCTCGGCGTCTGTCCGAAGCTGGCCGGCATGGGCATAGCATGTGCCAGATCCGTGTCAGGCATAGGGCTGTCCCAAGCTGCCACTAATTTGAGCACCACCAGCCCTTCCAGCATCAAGCTCAAGTTAGCCCACAGGCCGAAGGAAGCTGCTGCAACCAAGGGTGGTTAGCTGCCTTGTAAAAAGGGGAACGTGCATGGCCGTATTGCTCTGTAGATCAAACGCTTTGCTTAGGGCACCCCTTTTCCCAACCCCGCCAGATGCCACAAGCAGCTGGGAAACGAAATGGCTATTTCTCGGCGGAGGACTTCAGTTCCACGGTGAAGGTGCTAACCAAACACCGCGTCACGTGGCTAAAACGAAGCTTACCAAAGAAACCTTGACCTCGCTGTTTCAAACAATAGCACCAAGCCAGAGCCCATAATTTTTGTCAGGCCGCATCGTTCACCACCTGCCCGTTGTAGAACGTGTTGTTCCTCAAGTGGCGGCCATATGAAGACTGCCCCCTTCCGAATGCCAGAGCCCACATCCTTCTTTGCCCAGCTTCAGCCCAGCTCAAGGCACAAACGACCCTAAGAAACAACAAACGGCCTTTGTACTCTGAAGCTGTGACTGCACGAGGCCTTTTGACCCACCGACCCTTCTTTTCAGGAGGCAGCTGAAGGCACCCGTGAACACGCAATGCAAACTAGTTAGCGATCAATTGCATGACAAGAAACGCCCGCGTTCATGCCACGCATTGATCAGCTTCCCTCTTGGTTTGGAGCGCGGTGGTGTGGTTCAGGAAGGGGTTCCCACTTACAAGGAGCAGGGGACCAGGGGTTTAATTCCAAGTCCAAACCACCAATTCGTGGGTACCTGAATGGCCACAATTGAAAGACGCCTGACTGGTCGCCATCCACGCCCCCTGCATCCCTGCATGCGCAAGTCCAGGCCGGAGGGCGGGAACTCGGCAATCTGCGGAAGCATCCGATACCTATCAGAAGTCAATTCAAGTTGACAAACTGCAGGTCCAAAGGAAGGGTTTTTTGCATACCTCCACAACAAAAACAAAACAAGTGCCAAACAATCGACTTGTACTCGATGAGTAAAGGACGGCAGGAGGATAGGACGGAGATATCAAATATTAGATGCCTTCTGACTGATTCAGGGCCCAAAAAACAACATCAATAAAATGGCAAGGTTCAACCTTTCAGCCAATGATCAAACAACATCCAGTTCGACATTCAGCAAGCTGATGCATCGATCGCCCTCCGGCCTTTTACTTTCCTCTTGCGACCTCTTTCCCCAAAGGACGCTTTTTGTCAAGCCCCTGTCTCAACTTTGCCTTTCTTCCCCTCAGGAAGGTTCTAAGCAGAAGTTCGGCATAAATTCAATGCAAAATGCCAGTCAGCCATTCCCAAAGCTTTCAAACAAAGGGAATCAAATGGAAAATATAGGTTGAAGCAAAGACAAATAAGGACTGTGTGTGGGCTGCGCTTTTGCCCTGCAATTCAGGAACGCTGACTCTTGCCCGGGATGCTGATTGATCAGCTGCCAACACTACAAAAGCCAAGAACCAGGACAAACGGCATCTACCCCTGGTCACAGGCCAAGCCATAGGTCGTGTGGATGCAACTGTTTCTGCGGATTGCATGCCAATCGTGCAGAACTAGTCTGAAAATGTCTGAAATGAAGTCCGCAACTTCAGTTTTAAATTGTGTATGTATAGAGTCGGACATGCTCGCATGCACATCGAGCCATATATCTAGCCAAGCGGTCCCCCTATAATAATGTTGGTTCAACTGTTTGTGCACACCATAAAATGTAAAATACATCCCTGTGGCTTCGTTCTGGGGAATCGTACTTAGGACCCAAAGACACGCTTCAATGATTTAGGCATCACCTCGTCCAGCCAGGGTGCTGTCTGGCCAGCGTGTGCTTCTCGTTGCCAAGGTCCACCAACCGCTCGAAGAGAGATCGGTCAAATCCCATCTCTTTCGCCTCGGCAACCGTACTAACAGAGAACTTAGAAGGAAAGGCTTTCTTGTGGCATCACCGCTAAAGATGACTCAATGCGAAAGGCCAAAAAGGTCAGCTTTGGGGCCACAGTGCAACAGCTTGAAAAGGGATGGATCAAAAGCTGAGCAGAATGCGCCCGTGTACTGGCAGGAAGTTGTGCTGCAGCAAACCAGTCCAGCCAGGGTGGAACTTCAACCCCCTGCACGTGGACACGCGGAACCCTTACGGTATCACCCATTTGTCCCAGATTCATCGGGCAAGGGCGGGCGGTCAAAACCACTTCTGTGCGCACAATCTTCAGCCTTCAGGACAAGCAAGAAGCACACGTGTCCACCCCGCTTCGCCCCGTTGTCAGGAAGGCCCTTCACCAACCAGCCACTTAGAATGGAACCGCAATCTCGGCATGGCGCCTTCTTGGACATGACCGTGGACGGCAGCCTTGGAAAAGTCGAAAAGCTCCAAATTAGACATAGGCCCGGATGAGCCATGACATGTCTTGTGCGCTTCTGCTTCGTGAGGTTGGGCTTGACACCAAGTGCTTCAGCCACAAGCCTCGTGGCAAATGTCCATCCCCTTTGCCCGTCTGGGGATGGCCTGCTCCTCTTCTGGCTCTGAAAACTTTGCGGTCCTTCTCGTCTACAAGGTTTAGCCCGTTTGCGCTGTTTAGGGTTGTTGCCCTCGTCGGAGACCCTGAAGGTGTTGGCGGCGGAAAACCAACTTTGGGCTGTTTTGCTTTGCTTTGGCTGGTTTCTTTGCATCGCCGCCCCTTCGTGAGTGTGTGCATTCTGGGCGTCAGTTCAATCCTGACACCACCGTAAAGTTGCGAAAGTTGGGGGCGCAGGCCCATCGTGGATACCTGTGCCAACGAAGCTGTTCCATGGCGGGAAATACTTTGAAAGGAAGTTTGTTCTGGACGATGGTTGTGCGTGTGTCTCTGTGGGGTGTGAAGGTGCGTGTTGTGCATGGCGCCTGCGTGTTGTGCTTCTGTGGTTGTGTGTACGTGTGCGTGTGCGTGTGCGCATGTTTGTGCTTGAGTCTTTGTGAGCATTTATTCAATATAACCTGAGGCACCCAACGTGCCCTTTTTTTTAGGTACGAGAAAAAAACGCTCGAATTACCGATTTCTGCTCGACCCCCCAAAAAACGCTCGCCCCCCAAAAAACGCTCGACCACATCCCCTTCTTCCATCCAGAGGAAGGCGGGATTGTTACGTTTTTTAAATTTGCACTCGTTTGCGGATATTTGCGCTCGTTTTGCGGATATTTGCGCTCGTTTTGCACTTTGATTTCTGCTCGCTCCTTTTGAATATTCAGTGACCGATCATCTTGGAGGACCGACCAGCCCGGTTTTGGGAAAAACGCTCGAAGCAGGAAAAAGTGTACGTTTACCATATTTTGGTGACGACCCCTGGTTTTGCAATACGTTTGGGCTAAGGGCAGAAATTTATGTAACGAAGGGTGCTCCAGGAACGTGTGTGTGGGTGTGTTTGCGTTGCGTGTGGGAAGGCCTGTGCCTCAACATGTTGAGTGGGAGCGAGCATGCGTGCATGTGCATGTGCATGTGCATGTGCATGTGCATGTGCATGTGCGTGTGCATGTGCGTGTGCGTGTGCGTGTGCGTGTGCGTGTGCGTGTGCGTGTGCGTGTGCGTGCGCGTGCGCGTGCGCGTGCGCGTGCGCGTGCGCGTGCGCGTGCGCGTGCGCGTGCGCGTGCGGGTGCGTGGGCGTGTGGGTGTGGGTGTGGGTGTGGGTGTGGGTGTGGGTGTGGGTGTGTGTGTGTGTGTGTGTGTTTGTGTTTGTGTGTGTGCGTGTGTTTGTTGTGCTGTGCTGTCTTGTTTGAGTGTAAAGTATGCATGTGTGTAAGCATGTCTGTATGTCTGTGTATGTATGTACCTATGTATGTCATGCACGCTTGTATGCACGTATGTATGTATGCAAATAATGTATGTAACACAATGGAATGTGTTGTGATGTCATGTGTGCATGTAATTATGCTACAGTAGGTTGTGTATGTAGGTAATGTAATGTAATGTAATGTAATGTGATGCAATGTAGTGTGCTGCCCGTATGTACTAGATGTAATGTAATGTTCTAAATGTATGTAATGTGATGTGATAGGATGTAGTGTAAGTATGCATGTGCGTGCGCATGTGTGAATGTAGTGTAGTGCGCTGAAATGCCGACAAATGTAGTGTAATATGATGCTATGTGATGTTTGCAATGCGCTGCAATGGAGTACAATGTGATGCAATGTAGTGCAATGCCATGCAATGCAATGGAATTGCATGTAATTCCATGGAATGTAATACTGTAATGTGTGTAATGTATGCGCGGGTGCTGTGCTGTGCTGTAGCGTTATGTACTCTAAAGCCTGTTTTGGGTTTGTTCCCAACAGCTTCGTGCGGGGTTCTTTTTTTGAACGTCGGTGTCCGCGCCCCTCGTTCCTTCTCTTCCTCCCCTCCGTCGCAACCTCTTCACCCAGCTTTGGCGGCGAGTCTGGTTGCATGGCAGGCGCAGCACTTTGGACGCGCTGGGCTTTACCTGCGCGGACCGGGCGCCGTGCGGCTGCGCGCTGCTTGCGTGGCAGGCGCAGTACTTTGTGCGCGCTGCTGGCTTGCTTGGCAGGCACGTACTTACTCTCGCTCACTCAACTTACACTCGCTAACTTACGCATGCTGAGCATGCTGCATACCTTGTTTCACTCACTCCACTTGCACCCGCTGACTGCACTCTCATTTCCTCAACTTGCGCGCACTTAGTCTCTCTGAAACAACTTATGCTCACTTACAAAAAGCTAGACATGTGCAAAAAGCTGGGCATGTGGGATTGTCTGGTCCTCTAATTTGCTTGTTTGGTTGACTGATTGCCCCATTGATCGTTTGACTGATTGTGTGTGTGTGTGTGTTTGTTTGCTTGTTTGTTCGTTTCTGTTTGCATGTTTGCCTGCCTCTGTCTGCCCCTGCCTTCCTGCCTCTGCCTGCCGATGCCTGCCTGCCTTCTTGGAAATTGGGGGTGCGCTTGTGCCTTCTGCCTGGTCGCTGCTTTGTTGTTTCGAGTTCGTGCTTTGGGGCTGCGTGCGCTTCTGTTTGTGAGCATGTCTTCGAATGCGTGCCTTTGTGTGCGTGTGTTTGCTGTGTTTGTTGTCGTCTGTCTGTCTGCCTGCCTGCCTGCATGCCGGCCTGTCTGTCTCTGTTTGTCTGTCTCTGTCTGTCTCTGTCTGTCTGTCTCTGTCCGTCCGCCGATCGGTCTTTTTTTCTTGCGGTCTCTGTCTGTCTTTTGCTTTCTTCGCATTTGTGTGTGCGCATTTGTGTGCCAGTGTTTGTGTGTTTGTGGTTTTGCCTCTGTTTGCGTCAGTGGCCTCATCAACTGCAACTTGTTTTGACTTCGGGGGTAAGGGCAGGGGCTGTATGTCTGCCTCTGGCCACAGAAGAATAAGCAAATTGTAGCAGGGCACCTGCAAACATACATCCTATTCGATTCACCCCACTCCCCAGCAAAACGACACAAACACACACACAAATGCAACACAAAGTGGGGTGAAGTCCCGGAAGAAGTAACGCGGCCAAGAAGACAAGGAGGAGGAGGAGGAGGGAAGAGGAGAAAGAGGAGAAGGGGAAGGAGAAGGAAGAGGAAGGAGGAAGAGAAGGAGAAGGAAAGAAGAGGAAGAGGAGGTGGAGGAGAACAGAGATCCGCATCTCGTGGAGGAAGACGCCGTCCCGCCAGTGGCCAAGTGCAAGTACCCAAGCAGCCAACGGAAGAGCAAGCAGACGACAAGCCAAACTGCGTGAGGAGAACGAGGAGTGCGAGCTAGAAGGCGCTAGAAGGCAGACAAGGAAGGCGAGACTGACGAGGAGAAAGGCAAACAACTTCTTAAGACAAACGAGCATGCCAAAAAGGGTCACGAGGAAGAAAACCAACAAGGTGACGAAAAGCACAACAAAGAGACCGGGAAGAAGGAGCCGCCACCCCTAAACGAGCCAAGAGAAGAAACACGGACACGCGGGCAACGAAGAAGACGAACAGCACAGCTCAACTCAAGACCAAAAACTGTCTAAAAGGTTGCCCTTTATAACGGGTGCGGATTTATTTTGGGAATTTTTTTCGTTTTTTTTTGGGATTTTTTTTCGTTTTTCGTCCGGGCCAGCAAAATGTCGTATTTTACAGCATTTTCTCGCGAAATTGACGCATTTTACACTAGCTCGTTAACATCCCCAGCATCGTTTTCAACATCCCCCGCATGTCCGACCAACATCCCTAGCATCACCAACAAATGTAGCTGGCGGATTGACGGGGTCAAAACAATAATGCTTCAAACAGGAGGGCATTTCAATCCCAGCAAAAAAAAATCAAAAAAAACAATTAAGAAAAACAGAGCGGGGTGGTGATGATTCGAACAGGGGTGCAATTAAATCTCTGCAAAAAGTCTAAAAAGTAGCGGGGGGGTTGGGGGGGGCGGCAGCCCCCCCCATGATGTTCGAAGAATTGATGATTCAACTAGGGGTGCAATTAATTAAATCTCTGTAGAAAATCTAAAACGTAGCGGGGGGGTTGCGGCAGCCCCCCCATGATGTCGGAAGAAGTGGTGATTCAAGTAGGGGTGCAATGATTCAAGAAAGGGTGTGATAGAATTTAAAAGGCAGCGGGAGGGTTGGCGGGGGTGGCTTCCCCTATGATGTTCGAAGAAATGCATACATACAGACATACACGGACTACACAGATTACCTAAAATGTCGTATTTTGCAGCATTTTCTCGCGAAATTGGACGCTCGAAAAAGTGATGATTCAAACACAGGTGCAATTCAATGCCGGGCCAGTAAAGTGTCGTATTTTACAGCATGTTCTCGCGAAATATACCCCGCATGTCCCACCAACATCCCTAGCATCACCCACAAATCGTGTGACGGGGTCAAAGAAATGATGATTCAAGTAGGAGGGCATGTCAATCCCTGTAAAAAAATATAAAAAGTAGCGGGGGGGTTGGGGGGGGCGGCAGCCCCCCCCACGATGTTGTTTGCAGAAGTGATGATTTGAATAGGGGTGCAATTAAATCTCTGCAAAAAGTCTAAAAAGTAGCGGGGGGGTTGGGGGGGGCGGCAGCCCCCCCCCATGATGTTCGAAGAATTGATGATTCAACTAGGGGTGCAATTAATTAAATCTCTGTAGAAAATCTAAACGTAGCGGGGGGGTTGGGGGGGGCGGCAGCCCCCCCATGATGTCGGAAGAAGTGGTGATTCAAGTAGGGGTGCAATGATTCAAGAAAGGGTGTGATAGAATTTACAAGGCAGCGGGAGGGTTGGCGGGGGTGGCTTCCCCTATGATGTTCGAAGAAATGCATACATACAAACATACACGGACTACACAGATTACCCCCATGATGGTCGAAGAATTGATGATTCAACTAGGGGTGCAACCCCCCCATGATGTTCGAAGAATTGATGATTCAACTAGGGGTGCAACTAATTAAATCTCTGCAGAAAAACTAAAACGTAGCGGGGGGGTTGGGGGGCCCCCCCCCATGATGTCGGAAAAACGCCACCTGCCGAAGAGGAACTGGGAATGCAGAGGATGCGAAAAGCCAAAAAGCCACCAAAAGCCGCATAAACCAGCAAAAAGCCGAAAAGCCTAGAAGCCCAGAAGCCGAGAAGCCAAGAAGCCGAAAAGCCAAGAAGCCAAGAAGCCAAGAAGCCAAGAAGCCAAGAAGCCAAGAAGCCCAGAAGCCCAGAAGCCGAGAAGCCGAGAAGCCAAGAAGCCGAGAAGCCAAGAAGCCGAAAAGCCAAGAAGCCAAGAAGCCGAGAAGCCAAGAAGCCAAGAAGCCAAGAAGCCAAGAAGCCAAGAAGCCAAGAAGCCAAAAGCGAAAAAAATTCCCCAAAAAAAACGAAAAAAATTCCTAAAATAAATACCCCTCCCTTTATAACTAAGGTCACCCACCGAAGTGGTTGCAAACGCACTAGTGGCCCTATAGTGTATCGAGCCGTGGCGTTCCAATGTCGAAGCGCCGAGTGGTTTCCCTCTAGGTACATCAAAGGGGGAAACCAGAAAAGCAACAGCGGTCCAAGGGGGGACCAAGTAGACTTTGCATTGCAGCTGCAGGTGCAGGTGTTGATCAGACCACCCATCCGTTGTCGTGGACCGGCTTTGTTGGCACAGGTTCACGACGGGCCTGCGCCCCTTGTTTTACGGTGGTGTCAGGGTTGAACTGACACTCAGCACACACACACACACACTTGCGCTCTCACTCCCGGCTCTTAAAATCTTGGAAGTGTCTCAAAATTGGACACCCCCACAAGTTGGTGGTCAACTGATTTCCATGTAAGGCAGCCCCCAACAAAGGGCCTCCTCAAAAAAACACTTAAGCTTGGCGACTGCTCGGGGTCGCCCACCAGGATCAGGCGCTGCACATGCCGGCGCATCACCTCGGAAAGCGATGCAATGGGACCACGTTTGTAAGTCATCCTCCAAAATAACCCAAAGGGAAACCACCAACAATGCTTTTGAGAACCTCTTAAAGCTTTCTAGAGAAGGTCACAAGAAAGGGCCATGACTGATGACTGTAAAGCTTGGAGCCTTAGACCACCCAAAACATGTTTTGGAACCTAAAGGGACCCCAAGATTCACTGAAATTCCCTCACTGAGGAGTCCTTACCATGAACAGGGTTTTCGAGAACCTCTCAAGACGTTCTCTTGAAGGCGACAAGAAAAGGCCATGACTGTAAAGCTTGGAGCTGGCTGACTTGCGAGATTGGGGGGGGGTCCACTTGGTCATGTGCCCTCCTCACAATGAGCATAACGTGTTCGGGGCGCTGGCCGAATGCCAAGAAAACGGTCCCACTGGGCGGTAGCGTATATCAAACCCCGACTTGGTTGCCTCTGCTTGTCACTTCCACAGGCCTCACAATCAAAGGGCGAACTTGTGAAACCACAACTTCAAACGGACCAACTTTAGAAAACAACAAGGTCAACCGGTCGGCTTTGGACCAGTGAGAAGCTTTCGCTTAGGTCACTGACCGTTTTCCCGAGGGCTGCCCGACCTGACAGCGCCCGTAATTTGTTGAGTAAAGGCCAGCAGCAACATAAGGATAAGGTCATATTTTGATCATATCAACCAGCCAAGACAAGGCTCGCAAATGGCCGCACTTAATTAATGGGAACCAAGGATTCATCAATTCCTGGTTAAGGGGGGTGCCTCACTAAAGAGGGAACCCTTTGGGGGAACACCCCCCAGGCATCCCTCTGCTAATCCAGGGTCAACATACATCACAACTGCATAAGTTGCGGGCCACCATCGTCTCCAACTCTTTGCACTGGCAGGACTCATCAACAATAACCTCAGCGCGCTCGCCTATACGTGACCAAGGTGATCCGTTCAAAGCCCTGGATTTCAGAAAACACATTGCCTTCTGCATTATTTTGATGACGTTGCAAGGACGTCTCGCTCGTGCAACATCTGCGCTAGCTCCACGCTGACGGGTGGCATCCCCAACTGAGGTATGTCTGCATCTCGCTTCGTGGCAACAGAAAAGCGCAGCATCACTGCAGTTCAATCAGAAGTCTGAACGCGGTTCCACAGGAATTCGCAGTTTGAACTAGTCTGGAAGTCAAAATTCTGACCACCACCAATGCACCAAGCCATCAAAGGTTCGCCATGCCGTCTTTTCAGCTCAGATTTGTATTGGTGATTCGGGCCTTTGATGGCTTTTTTTTCTACTTGCTGATTCCCCAAGGGCCGACCAGCCCGAAAGCAACCCTTGGCAAATGAATGACGGCGTGTGGTTCTCTGCATGCAGCATGTTTGGTCGATCCGGCCTCGATGTGAGGACAGCCCGAAAGATTGGCCGAAAGCAAGCAAGCAAAAATGCAAATTCAGTGAGCACACCGTAACTATCGCATGATGCGGCCACACGAGCCAAGGGGCCGTCTCAATCTTCTGTGTCCAAACTTTGTTCCGTCCTACGTGAGCGAGCCGCTTGCGAAGATAGGATGGGCCAATCTTTGCAAAAGACAGCGCAGCTTTGCTGGCGCCATGTTTTTACCATTGTCACCCCAAGTAGGTTGAAGGGCTCCAGCCCCCTGAAACCGGAGAACAAAAAAAAGCAGCGCAAAACGCTGGTACCCTCCTCTGATTCTCTGATTCCTAGTGGTCTGGGGGGGGGGTCCTGCCACCGTGGTGGTCGCAAAGATGGCCTGCGCGCCCGCCAGGACCAACTCTCGCAGCTCCTCCGAACTCACCTTGGCCACCTGGAAACCGAGGCCTCGGGGGCCCTTGCCACTCAAATCCTTTCACGCCACCCAAATATCACCTTTATAAATTTTTGGGGGATCCCGGGATCATGGACTCACAGAAGGCCCTTTGCAAGCTCCTTTTCTCTTTTTGGCGTATTTCTTTTCTTTTCTTTTTTTTTTGGGGGGGGGAGGGGCACGCTCCGCTGGTTGTGAGCGTTGGAAGCCGTTGCTTCGCAAGCTTTGGCCCACGCGGCTGGCGCCTGACTCTTGCGTGCTCCGGCTCCAAGAGGCCCCTTTTCAATTCGCAAGCGCTAGCTGTGTCTTTCCAGGTCTCCGTCCCGCAACCAAAGCTCACTTGGGGCGACTGACCATGCAATTTGTATACCCAGGAAATCAGGAAGCGAAGGGGTGGGACAACACCGAAACGGGTCACACGCCTCGTGGCAGGCTTCCATCCAGTGCACCAGGACGGCCTGGGGCCACCAAGTTTCGTGGAACACACAGCAGAAAGCACCGGTCCTTTGATTACTGGGGCCCAACTCATAGGCAGACTATCAGCTACAAGCATGCAAGAAAACACAAGTTGCTTGAACATGGGCAACTAAACAAAGTGCCGGCTGAACAACATGCGGAAACAATGCGTAAGCTTCATCATCCTCGCGGAGGCCATTTCAGGGGGCTGCAGATTTGTGGCAATCAACCGATGCACGAAGCGCCTGCAGCGAGGCTGCTGGGGTAAAGTTCTGCCAGGGTGACTCCTCGTCTGCCTGAAGGCACAGCTGCGGTGGCAAAACTCATGAGAACCGGGGAATGCACCTCCCATTCAATTTTCGCGGTCGAGATGTTGTTTTGGACATGCAGCAAGGATGGAGCAGCCTTGGGAGACCTTAAGTTTAAAAGGATTTTTGGCCTCACGGGATTTTGAATATTAGATACGGATGCAAAAATAAACCTAATCAAAATCCACTCAGCCAATTGGCAGACATCATTGCGGGATCCGTGCCTTTCGCGTAGTCTGCTCGAGCTCAGTTCATTCCAACAATTCTGCAACCAATTGGTCGAAGTCCAAAAAAAGCTGGAGGCCCTTCTGAATAGAACAGTTCAGACCTGGAGAAAAAAACGCGTGGCTCGTTTCCTGTCAACTCCCCTTGCAAATGACTTGCGATCGGTGCGATTGATGAAAAATCAGGGCCGGTCCCCTTAAAGGAAGCCACAAGGGATGGTTGACAGGAGTCATTTCATTCCTCATTTCCTGCTGGGCACCAGCAAAATGAACCTGATTGGTACTGGCGGTTAGCGCATGGATGCGCATGCAATAGTCTCAGCCTGACCACTTTCAACATGACCGAAGCGCGCGACACAAAATCAAGTACAGCGCGAATACCTCAAAACAGTTTGAATATCCGACATGACCGGTGGGGGTCAAGAATAAGAACACTTCCCAGCAACCTGATGTCTTTCTAGTGCGCCTTCCACACCCAGTGGATTTCCATGGGGAAAAGCAACAACTCTGACCTCTGGGCGGTGTGGTTGATTTGAAAGGGACACCGCCTTTTTGGGTCACAGGACCCTAGGTCAAGGCAGCACTCCGCCTGCAGCACTGTGCCGCGCTGCAGCAGCGTGCGGATGGCCTGTGCGGGCGGCATCTGAGGGCGAACAACCTCCAATTCAGAGGGCGCGGGCCTGGTGCACGGGGAGAATGGACCTGCTTCTAGGCTCGGCATCTCTGATTGTACATGGCTGGTTGGCTCTGTCCGCCTGGCTGTCTGCCTATGGCTGCTTCTGTCCGTCATGCGCGCCGAACACGCGGGCCGGCCTTCACCAACCAAAGCACCTCGTGCAGCCTTTGCCTCAAAGACTCGCTGGGACGGGTCCTTGCTCTGTTCCGGGGGGTTGTTCAAGGGAGTTGTTTACTCTTCATTGTACTTCTATTGTTTGCTCTTTCCGGATTCTGGAAGTGCTGTTTGGACGGGTAAAACGCCAGGATTATAAAGACACAGTCCATCCATCTACCGACTCGATGTGCTTCTCCCTTGAAAACGGTAAGGCCCATTCCCCTAGCCCAGGATTGATCGGGGTAGGGATGACTTTAGACACGTTCAACTGGCTGAAACTGGACGCCCTCATGAGTGGCAGGCCTTTCTTACACACAGGCACAATGGACATGATTAACTACATGTATCCTGCTCTGTTTATGATGTGTTTCCCTATGAATCTTGTGTCAGCACCCTCACTCCATCCCTGTAGCAACAAGCTGAGTGTCGCAAGCTTTGGGGAGGTACCACGGGAACGCCGTCCTATTTGCAGCCAAGGCGCTGCAAGCCCTTGAGGTTCTCCAGGAGATCTGGCTTTCTGCGGGGGTTGTAGTTTTGGCCGTGCGCATCAGCACCTATCGGGCGCCGGCAAAAAGGCGCAGGCCCCAGCCACTCGCGCGAAAACAAGCGAGAAGCACTGATTTTTACAAATACCGACGCCGGACGTCGTTTAAGACTGTGACACAATTGGACTGCATGGCAGGGGCTGCAGCTCCAAACAAATTCGAAGACTAGGGTTGTCCTGAGCGACCCTTCAAAACTCTTTGCCGTGTTTCTGCAGCGTTTCTTCGAGTAAGCATCGAAGACAAAGAAAGAGAGACAGAGAGAGAGAGAGAGGGAAAGACAGAGTCATGTCTTGAACAAGGGTCCCCCAACCAAGCTGGCACAGTTTGAATTCAACACATCCAGACAGTTTCATTCAAGGATCGCTGCTCCTTTCTTTTCACTGATATAAAAGGACCGGGTGACGTCTGAGACTTTGAGCCAACCGCCTTCGTCGGTCGGGAGAGGTAGCTGAGGAAGCGACGTGGTCAGATGCTCCTGTCGCTTGTGCCGACTGTCAGTCAGGCTTTCTGAATCCACCAAATGCAACCTCGCCACTTCATGCTAACCAGAGCGCGCGCGTGATGTTTGCAGCGGGGAGGCCTGAAAGGTTGAATGACCCATCCTGGAGCCAAGGGTATTTCGGACTCGGTTCAGCAGTTGCTTTGGCAACAGAAACCTTTTGGTTGCCAAAGAGGCAACCCTCCGTTGCATCACGCTCCATCCCTACACTCAAGGGCGACAAGGTCGGTGTTTTCGGTCAGGCACAGCTTATGTGCATTGCTCCCGAGGCACGCGCCCTTGAGGTTTGTGTGCAAGAATGCGGTTGCTTTGTGCATTTTATGTGCGGTTCGGGCCCTCGTGAGCTCACAGGGCTCGAGACAAATTGACAAAGAGCGTCCGCTTCAAGGTTGATGTTTGGCACTTTGCAGTATTTTTAATCCTCGTGGTCAAGTGGCCAAGTTTGGGGAAAACCCACCGTGCAGGAACCCTGACCATCTTGCATCAAATCATTGGGGGACCCTGTCCGTGCGTCAATAGGCTTTAGGCATATCAACAGTACCTTCTGAAGGTCGCCAAACATCCGATCCTGAAGCAAAAGGGCCATCACAATGAGCTCAGCCCGTCCCCCGGCCCCTCTCCTGGTGCACTTTCAATATCTCTTCCACGGCCTGGATGGATCGACAAAAGGGCACTACGGTCGATGCCCGCCACACAGTCTTTTTCATACCCGGAGTGAACAAAGGGACGGGTGCAACGAACTCGGGTAATATCATGGATTCAGAAGCAACACACTGTTCATCTTAAAAAGATGGTGCGTTTCCCTAGCATCACACAAATCCGGATGCAACTTGGACTGTAACGGTTCAGTCTCTGGTGTTCCACACCACACCAAAGGAAGCCCTGAACTTGAATCGAACGGTTCCTGTCTGGAAAGACTGAGTTGCCTGCTTCGTCCATCCATGGCAAGCAATTGGGCCGCCCTCGTTTGCCAACATTGAGAAATTTGAAGGCAAGGTCTCCTGAATTTCTCAGATCTCAAGATGGAGAAGAAATCAGCCAGCCAGAGCTTAACAACCATGCGCACATCCCTTCTACTTTTGACTTTTGCCATGCTCCAGCGTCGTGGGGTTGAGCAAGCGAAAGGCACGTACTTTCGGCTGTGGCCAAAATTGTAAAAAGTTAAAACATACCACTTCTTCACTCCCCGGTGCGGATAAGCGCCGCATGCATGCGCCTCGAAGAACTCTACCAGGAAGTTCCGGCAGGCCTGTGCGAACAGGCAGTCCCAACTAGCTCGAAATAAATCGAATAGGGTTGTGGGGTACCCTAAGGCCCAACTCCCTCATCAGGGGAGACAAATGTGTGAACATTTTTTGCTCCTGGCTTGAGGCAACCAACCTCGACCCGCTCACCCCCCAAGTTAGGACCAAGAAACCAGTGGGTTGCTCCCGAAAGGATTCATGGCATTCTCCGCCAACACGTGGCACTGTTGGAGGGAAAACCCGATTGAAGGCAGTGCCCATCCAACCCTGCATAAGCAATCAGATCAAGCCGGCAGGCAAAGGGTACCGCTGCTTGGGTTGGTTCAAAGAGATTCCAAAAGGAAGCCGCCCCCACGTCGGAGTTCCCTGTCATCTCAAGGTGCTAAGAGGTGTAGTTTTGGCTGGTGCGGATTTGCAGTTTTTGCTTTACCTTTCCTTACCGTTGCTCAGCCTGCAAAAACACAACCAACACTGCCATATTGAGTGGGGATCAACTGGAAACAACATTAGACAGCGTGCTGTCTGGCGAACTGGGGCACGGTTGTATTAGGGGTCTATTTCAACTCGCTGCTGCTTTGCAGGGCCCCTTTGCCTCATCCGTGTCAGCCGGCACGTCTTCTTTAGGAGGCTGCTTCACGTCCTCTGCCCTGCAAGCCAAGCGCAGGAAGGCAATGGGCGAATTGGAAAGCTGAAGTCGTTGACGAAAGTGCTTGCAAGCTGCAAACTGGGGCTGAATGAAGGATCGCACGGCACCTAGCTAATTAGGGCATGCGGGGTTGCTGCCGCTGTGCCATCCTGTTTTGACTCGAGCTAACCAGGGGTCGTGATTCATCCCTGAGCCGCGGATCCTTTCCGCGAACTCATTTTGATGCTGAAGCGCAAGGTCCTCTGCAAACGGCGTTGGGGCACAATCAGCAAGCCAAGGACAACCTGCTCGATTCAAAAGTCGCCTTGACAAAAGCTCATGGCCAGCCTCGCTGCCAGTGCAGGGGCCGAGGTGCGGTGAATGGTGCCCACAAACGCAAGAATGAAGTGGTTCAAGAGCTGGCTGGAGTTTGCAGGGGCAAGTGCGATGAATTCAGAAAGTAGCATGTTGGTGAGCATGTTGAAATTATGGATTGCGCTCGGGGATAAACTCAGAAAGCCCCCAAAGAAAAAGGAATCCTCAAGTAAGGGGCCCTCCTGGGCGAGCTTGTTGTACGCCAGATGAGATCCTGCTAATTTGCCCAGAAGGGCCCTACGCAAGCCCTGCATGCAAAGGGTTCCAACATCTATCTTTCACCTGAACATCCACTGGAATTGACATGCAAGTTGTCCACCGAAAGGATCCCAAAGTAAGCGGCCTTTTAATGGTAGGTCCATCCCCTCTGCGATGCATGCCAGGCCTCTCCAGGTCTTTCTGTGTCTTCCTGCAGGCTAAAAAGCCCATCGCATGCAAGCAAACACAACCTTGAGCTAAACTGCCCTGCTGGAAAACTGGGGGGGGGGAAGGGCGGCGACGCAACTCACTGCCTCCTCAGGGAAATTTGCTGCGTGCTCAATAACTGACTATGTTTGTGAATTGATACATGCAAAGGTACATGCATGTACCGTGTGTAGGAATGCAAGTAAGGCAGCCACAAGTCGTTTGGACACAGCTCCCGCATGCTAAGCTCTGCGCTTGGTCTGGCAAATGCGTGCTGCATGGGGCTGCCACAGGGTGACCTGGGCGAGCCATGTCGCTAACATGTGGTGGATCAACTTGTGGGCAAGCACGCTGTACCCTATGAAGTGCGAAAAGAATAAGTGGTGCACGCGCATGTCTGCCGCGGCAATTGGTCAACCAAGGTCGTTGCGGGGGGGAAATGCGCTTCTTCATTATCAACCTAGTCACAAGGAAAAACAAGAGCTTTGAGCACGCAAAGAGAAAGATGCGCATGTCTGATACGAAGCCAGGTGGAAAACCTCTTCTCGTGCAAAGAGATGGTCATGCAAGGCTATCTACCCCCCAATGGCAGGATAAAGGGCTAAGAAAAGGCAGCAACGCTGCTGGTGGGGTTCCCTTTTATGGTTGAAGGCCCCGAGGCCGCTCTCCTGGAAATCATCATGTCACATGTCATGCAGTTGGCCTGTGGCCCGAACTGGAGGCTCAGGAACCACACCAAAACAAAACTGAGTCTGGCAGAAGCTTCCATTGAGACATCGTGCCGGCGTCAGACGATGGAAATCCCAGGAGCCCGAAAGCTCCCAAGGAGCCTCGGGAAAACCAAAACATGGCGTCCTGTTGTTGAGGCTTGTCTTTTGCAGCTTGGTTTAAAGTTGAAAAACCCAACATGTGTGGGTTTCCAACCGATTTTGATTGGCGTACTCACATCTCTGATTGGCGAGACTGGAGGCCTTTGGGCTCCATGGTGTCCAAGCCAAGGTTGCGGCACTGGGCACGTCACGGATCCAAAACAAATCCGGCCGATTCCTTGCCGGCCCTATTTGGGCTGGCTTGGCTCAAACATAAAGAGCCGGGGGCAAACCGCAGGTGTTGATCTTTGTTTCCATCTACCAAGGGGCCATTTCGGGGCTTCATGTCCCATCCGGGGGACAAAGACAATTCGGCCCTCCAGCTCAACTAAGTCACAATCAACATCGGGTGTTCAAATCGTCGACAAAAGACCCTGTCAAGAGTATGCGCATTTATAGCCGGGACCGTCTCCTTGAAGCTCCATGGTGAAGGATTCGAGTCCATTTTACACTCATGTGTATATAAAACAAGCTGACACTGACAGGCGGGCTTCCGCAAACTGCTTCCCTTTTCAGGAAGCCCCGCTCCACTCGCATCATGAGGAAACGCCAAGGCCCCTCTTTTCATCTGCCCCCATGAAGAAAAATAACCCGCCACTTCTTGGGGAACCATCCCGTCACATTCATACAAGTTGATATACCACGGGCGTCCTGGCCTCCGTGCCCTCGAGCACCAACCTGCGCCAGACCTTGAAGACCTGACGGGGGTTCTCCAAGACATCGCGGAGAGCGAAGACGAGCTCCCGCAAACCCGCCTAGGGAGACTCTCGGCTCAGTGGCCGGGCTTGGGCTATGTCTTGGGAACCCGAAGGGTGGTTTCCCTTCTGCTTGCCCTTGAAAGCAACCCCGAAAAGGGTAACCAAGATTACTCCAATATGCACACTTCCAGGTCCATCCAACAAGGAAGACGCCGCATCGTGTTTTTGTTGAGGGTGCATGTTTTGCAGGGGTGTTCAAAAGAACAACCATAGGAAAGCCACCAATTGTGGGGACTTGGTCCCCCCCAACCAACATGGAGCTGCACAGGCCTCACGTCCATCTTTGTTAGTGGTACGGAAGTTGTTGAGGGTGCCCTTTGGAGGACTGTTTAATGGCCACTATGCCTCCACAATCAACCGCCATAACACCAAACCAAAATCAAACTCAACCAAGAAGGAGGCCAAGCGTGCTACTCAAACCAGTGGGAAATAGAGTAACCCCTGCTCGAAGATCAAACTCTGGTTATGAATTGCTGGCCCTGAACAAGCTGTGCTTCTCCAAAAGAGGCTTGGCGTGCCATGCTCCAGGTTTTCAGGCTCTACCGGCCGCTTCGACTGGCTGTGGCTGTGGAAAACCGGGGCTGAAATGAGGATGCTACGTGCAATGCCAAAGGCTTGAGGTTGCAAAAGGTTATCTACAAGCTGGGCAGGCTTCCCAAGGCACGTGTCGCCCAGCTAGCTACTGGTAGCTACGGAAATCAGCAACTGCTGGCCAGGCCATGAAATTGCCAGTCCTCAGCCTCGAATCAAGTGTGCATGTGAGCGTGGCTGATGTTGAAACACGAAACATCTCATGTGCAAGTGAGTCGCCTTTGCAACTCGCTTCACCCGCTTCTTTCGATGGTCCAGCATGAGGACGCTCAACGGGTGGTCCATTCCGACCCCCACGCGGTCCTGGCACGTTTGTTTAACTTGTAATGGGCACCAGGCATGGAAGAAACTCACACATGTGCTGGCGTCAATTATACGCGACCAAGATCAAACAGCTACGTGAAACGCCACTTCCACAGACTGTGGAAACAATGCCCCCGGAGCTGAGCTGCCGAAATCAGCTCTATTCTGATGGAAGCTCTCCAGCCATCAACAATCTGAGTCTTTCCGAGCATCGTTTAAGTGCATTCAAGTAAGGAGTTGCCGGACGTTAACTTTCCAAGGATTCGTTTGCTGGATGCAGATTCGTGCTCGGCCTCACTGAGCTGACTAAGAAAAAACAAGCGAACGGTTACCCTGATAGGGTTGCATAACTTCACTTCCAGGATCCATCTGTTCACAAAATTGCCAAAAGCCAGGGAAAACGTGTGGCTCTCTGAAACGAAGGATGTGTGAACAGAGTGGGGAATCAACTGGCACGGGTTCCTTGCCCTTTCCCTTTTGCAATGCACGCTGCAAGCGTCACTCCGTTGTTAGGTGGAGTTCCGAATGCCCCTGTTCTTTGAACAACCAAAGGGAACCCAACCCAACCATTGCCCATTCTTATGTTGAGGCACCCTTGTTAGCCCATGAATTTCAAACCAACCAGCCCCCACCCGCATTTTTAAGGGGATTCCGTGTTTTGTTTTTCTCCCATTTTGACACACACCCCACATGGCTCATTTTCACCCGGAAAAGACGCGCTTGCGGCCTCGCTGGCCACGATGCAGATCTGCGCCATGCGCAGGGTGCAGCCCGCCCGGCGCTGCTCCACCTGAAATCCCCGGCGCGGTCGGCGGTAATTCTGGCGGTTTGCCAAAGAAAGGTGAAGGAATTGTCGTTGGGTGTCCCGTGTGGCGAAATGCTTGAGCTCAAGGCTTGACCCAGACGAGAGATTTCCAGCTTAGACCAGTTGGTTGAGCTGGATTGGACAGAGAGGGCACCCTGGCCAATGTTCGCCAATCCACCCAAAAAGGCCGAACCTGGTTCTAGCTGGCCTACCCCCCCCGCCCCGCCCGCAAAGAAAAGAAAGCGTTTCAGTTTCCATTCGAACCACCCAAAAGAGCTATCACAAACCCACTTGGATGGAACCGGGGTCTCAAGCAGGGCACCCGCAAGGAGCTTTCTCAAAAGCGGCTTGGGATGACATGAATGGCTGTGTGTCAAGATGACTCGGGCGTTTCCGAGGACAAGGGCGAAACAAACTCAACATGAGATCAACAATTTGGAGAGGTCCAACTCATGTTGAGAGCCTGTGTCTTGGGACCAAGTCTTCCATTTCGGGGTGGGAGCCTCCATAGAGGCCGCAATCCATTGAACTGTAGGGGGGTTGATATGGGTTGACTCCCCCATTCTTTCCTGGGATCCTTCTTTTCAGGAAAGCATGAAAAGCCCAGTGGAAACAGCTAGAACTGTAGCCAAAAAACGACTGCCAGGCGGCCATGTCCCATGTCCTCTTCGCTATCTCCATTGCCGCCACGTTGGTGGGACCACAGGTCAACACGCGCGCACCTCATGAATTTAGAGGTCACCTCACAAAGAGAAACAAAAAAGGGCATCGGGTACCCTTTCTGGGCCGATTCAGAGGGAAAACCACCCTTTTGTTGGGTCCCCATTTTGTTTATGGTGCACCCCCATGTTGGCATGGTGTTTAAGGGGAAGCCAGTTTGGAGCGAGGCAATCATCTGGTTCGAGGTGGAAAGAGGTGGTCAAGGGGCATCAAGCCGGACGTAGAAGCACCCAGTCATAGATGTGGTTACTGAAACTTTCTGTGCACTTTTGAGTAGTGAAGTCAACTTCAAGGAAATGCCTTCTACAATGAACCCTTTAATCAATTATTATCTTTGAGAACAATGCTGAGGTTCCGCAACGCCCCAGCAGCGCGCTGACATCAACGAACACTACTACCCGATCTGCTGGCCCCTTCTAACTCTAGGTGGGAGGTCGATTGCCCATAGCACCAAATCTGAACCGTTTTTATGGACTGCTGCGCCAAGAACGCGCCAGCGCCATAAAAAACAAGTGGCGAGGAGAGCTGCGGCACGGATTTTTCGAGTTTGCTAGCAACGTTTCCAAATGTCGCAAGTCGAGCCTGTAGAATGTGTGTCCTCCTACGGAGACCTTGTCAAATGTCCAGGGCGAAGGCTTGTGGGGCCTCCATTTCCACCAGAGTTCCGTACTGACGCTTGCCGAGCAGCTATTTGCCGCACATGCCACCACCAGGGAAGCAATGGTCTTCGTCTTGCCTGTCCCTGCAACGAGACATGAGTCAGGAACCGCACGATACCTAGAGGGCAACTTCCTGTCTTGACCCCGTGCGATCGCGTTGCTTCTCCGGCATGCACTTCTAGCTACGACAAATAAGGAACACTCAGGAAACGGAAGGAACACTCAGGAAACGTGCTTGGCCATAATCGAATCGCACGTTGAATTATTGTTTTGCTTTCGGCATTCCAACGTTTCGACCCAAATCTCTCTGCGATTGCTCCAGGCAAGTGGGACATGTTCGAACTTGGGTCTGCTTCATCTCCGGTTGCAACTTGGCCCTCCAATAAAACGAATCGCCACGAAACCATGGCAAAACAATTCGGAAATTCAGAAGTGAAGCTGAGAGCGGCAAACAGGAATGAACAACTGGAAACCCAGGCAGGGCTACATTCCGCGGTTCAACAATGGAATCTGTAGCTCGTTGCCTTCATATCGCGCCCAAAGTTGTTTTGCATCATTGGGCTAGTGCGAGCCGTCGTGGCTGCAAAGCCCTTCACGTCTGTCCAAGTACCCCGGAGTCTTCCAGGTGGTTTCGAAGGCTGTAAGCGGATGGTTGCCAGCAACGTATGCCAGAGGTGGCCTGATTGTTTTTTGCCTGCCAATTGAAAGAAAAGCGCCCATGTGCCTAAGCCCAAGCACCCACGCCCTGACAACTCCCACTGGCTTGAGCTGCCACGCCCAAAAAGGCGAAAAATGTCGGTTCGAGTTACCAGGTCCTCCAGTAGAGAGGGTAGAATAAGTTGGTACCCGATTTTTCTCTGTAGTCCATTTTAGTAGGGGAACCCTCCCCAAAAAAGGGGAGAGAAGGACACTGGGGGACCTAGGATATGTCCATGCTAATCCCAACAACCACTGGGTTCTTTTCTTAACCTTGCCGAAGCCTTGGCCAAGGCAAAAGGAGAGTCTGCTTGTGGTGGAATTTATGGGTCTCAGCCCTCAGCATGCGCCCCATCGTTAGAACTTACGTCGAAATCCATCGAACTCCCCCTTTCGCCTGGTGGCCCTTGCACCAGGACCACCTCAGGATGAAAGGGCCACATGCATCAGACACGTATGCAATAGTATGGGATGATGGCCCTGTCAGTGTGTCAGCCACAGAGGTACACAAGCAAATATCATAATAATAACAATAAAACACGGGAGTAGGTTACGTGGGAAATCAGGGCCGACCGCTGCTTGCATAATAACACGAGGCTTGCCATCGCTGAGGTTCACGTTTTTCACTGAGCTCTCGCGGCGATGCAGGAGGGAAGAACACTGGGTAGGATGGGGACTGGTTCACTCTGCAACTGAATCACTCCCTGCATAATCTACGAATGCCCACAACTGGTTTCCCCAAGCTTTGCGAAAGTGGATAGCACGCACGCCACAAACTCTACTCCCACGCCAGCACAACTGAAACCAGCAACCCTTCCAATAGCTACTGGGAGAAATGCCTGACCGTTCTGCTGGCCTAAAGCAACCGGGTGGAAACCATGACAGCTAAGAAACTTGATTCGCATGGCTTGGAAAGCTTTTGACCAGGTGCTCTGAACATAGAACCTCTTGGGGCTAGGCCTAATCCCACTCCCTTCAACAATTCAGCAAACAACCCATGACCCCAAATGGACAACTCCTGGTTGCCGGCAACTCCCCCGCACGTTTTTCAGCGATGGGCATGTTGAGGTCTTGTCATGAAGGAGGTGTCGTCAGGAAATGCTTGGACCATTGAATTCCCAAAGCTAGCCCCACACTCCCTTCTGGCCCTGCTCCACTCAGGGCCCCGACCCCCTGTTCCAGCGACAGGGCCTGCGTGCAGGCCTGCGACGTCAGTTCCACACACCCCTGGAGACATGACGCAGGCAACGTCGCATCTTGTTGGAAAGTTTCTTGTCCCAAGTGGTAGTTGTTGGTACCCAAGTGGGTAGACACCCACTTGGGTAGTGCTCTCCTCTTGAAATCTGGTTGAACCACTCCCTTTGTAACTCGCCTGCCGCTGGGAATCATTCAGGTCGCTAAGCACTCTGGAAGTGGCGGAGTCCTGGCCCCACTTCGCAGCAAGTGACTGGGCCACGAAGCTACTAGTGACTCGTGAATGCGCAGCGCAGAATGGGCAGCACATGAAACATGAATTCCACGAAGATTGTCTGTAGCACCTGCTCTGGCAAGTCTCTGTTCAAGGCATGTGGCCAACCAAGCACGATCTGTCCACAACTCTCTGGACGGACCTGGACTGCGCACCGTGGAGCGAGGCTTGCCACCCCCCCCTGCACCCCGCACCCCAAGGAAGTCCTCCTGGAGGTCTCGCCTTGGCGATTTTTGGGGCGAGAAATCCTCTTTCTCCGAAACTGGTGACACTCCCATGCCAGAAACGATGGCAAATGGGAGGTATGAAGCAATTTCTCGAGGCTTTAGAAATCCTTCCTTGGCTTTCCGCTCTTCGCCCCCACTCGCGACCCACTTTTCACAGTGCGGGCATGGACACAACGTGAGTGCAAGACCGCAGGCACCCCAAGAACATGAAGCAATGCAGTTGGGCAAGACAAACCACATACCAGCCTGGCCTGAAGACTGTAACTGGCGATCCGTGCACCTGCACAAAAACGCAACACTTCTAGATTGAACTCCACACACGAAACAACCCAAATCGGCCCTCAAATCCTTGGGCTTCAATATTAGCTCAAGGGAAAAACGCAGGGAAGCTGAGAGCCGGACTGCAGCGCAATGGGCCCCCGCCTGGCGTCAGGCAACTCACACCAATACTCGCCGACCTTAGCGACCCCTATCGCCTGCCTGAAATCATGGGAATCCTCATGGCCCAACATCCCAAACACCCCGCATTAACCCTGTTCAGACATGGGCAAATACAAGCCTCCCTAAGAGTTGGAGCCAGGATAGAGTGGAATCCCCCAAACCGGCCCCTATCAAAAGCGTTCGTTTCTCGTTCCATGTCCTGATCTGGCTAAGGCAACTGCGAAAAATCTCGGGCAGCCAAAGCAAGCAACCAAGAACATCAGGGCCCGAGAACAACTTCCTCATGGCACCTCCCGAGACACTCTTGGCACCTCCCAAGACCCCAAGTTTCGGGCGCAAAAAAAAAAAAACAAAAATCCCCCCGGCGGTCTCCACCTCCCTGCGATCGTCCGCCTGGCCTGGGCCGCGTGCCTTGGCGTTGCTGTTCGCTCACGGGGGGCAGCACTTCGTTGGGGTCCAGCGCATCTGAGTAGGGCGTCCCGCTGATTGCCTCAATCGGATCTGGGAAACTTCCGGTGCTTCCGAGTCAGTCCCTTGACCTCCGCAGCTGGTGGATGGTCAGTTCGGATTTGAAATTTGCTTTGGGCAAATTCGGTGGGCACAAGGAAGGCAACACGCACCAGAGCACAAGGTGAGGGACGCCTGCCAGGGCAAAACTCATCGGTTTGGGCGTGTTGTGCCGGATGGTTTTGGTGTTACAAGGTGTTGCACCAAAAGGAGAAATAATGGACCAACAAATTACCAATACTAGGCATATTCCTAGTTACACCCTCGGAACGAAGTAACAACACAATCTATCCCCGCGAAACACTGAATACTCTGAAACATGCAGCCCAGCGTCTTCCGTATTGCGGTCCTTCACTCTTTGACCCCCATATGCCCCCGTTTCCGCCCCCCTTCCTTCCCAAAAGTTCCCAGCCTGACTCCAGAAGGGCACCTCGTGGTCCCTCGGGTTCTCCAAAACCACGGCCTCGCCGCAAAGCGAAAGACCCTCCCAGGCCCTCTTCCGGTGCCCAACCTCTCTAACCAGCTCACAGGCAAAGAGCGCCCTTGACGGCAAGCCAGCCATCCCAAATTGGGGAACCTGGTTCCACTGGAGGACTGGGTTTAGCCATGAATAAACAATCATATATAGCAATATATATATATATGTATATGTATATATGTGTGTGTAATATCTGTATATATACATACACCCGTCTTACACCTGCAACTGCAGAACGACCTCTTTTGACTGCGGCGTCGAGTGCCTTGCGTGGTAGAATTCCTGGCGCCCCCTAGCGCCATCTCATTAGAGATGGACACGCTCAACAGGGATGCCTGGTTGAAGCCTCCACAAGTGTGCTCTATCCAGTGCTGCTCTGCTCAGTGCTGGGCGCACTGCACCCCACAGCTTCTGCCAACGAGCTCCGCGAAAGGCGGTGCAGCCGCGCGGAGGCGTGAAGTGCAGCACCACGCCGCAAAGCACGCCCCGCCAGCTTCCTCCCAGCTTCCTCCCAGCCGCTTCGCGATCAAATGCTGCGAAGAAGCTCGAGGCCGTCCACGGCGCCGTAGTATCCGCTTAGCCGCTGGACCTCTTCAAAGCCCTGCAGTACCTCTGGGGGCCATGGCCCATAGTGGAGCAAGATGCAGAAATCTATGAACAAAGCTTGGAGGAAGCGGTTTGCAACGGGCTCATCCTCCAAGGTTTGGAGTTCTAACAGTCAATAGGCCTGCTGAGACAAGCCCCGTGAACCGTGGTTACACTTCAAGCAAGCGGCAGTTCTCGCCTCTCCGCAACTGCGGGGTTTCTACTTTGTTTCAATTACCACTTCTAGCCACCTCAAGTGACCTGAACTTGAAGAATAAGCCACAAGCCTCACCAGCCTGAACCCACGCTAAAACGCTGACAGCCGCTATGTGGGTGGCAAGTGCCCAAGCAAAACCAGCTCTTTGCATGGTGCTCCATCAGTGTGCTGCTTCAAGCCATCTCCAACACTTACGGGTTGCCAACACTGCAAACCGACGCCGACGAGGTCCACAAAAGTCCAAAGTCAAACTTTGCAGCGAGTAGAACTTCCCCAAACGGTTGTTACCACCTGCCCAATTGATGGCCAGGTGGCATACATGCTTTGGGCCCCCAAGTTGTCCGCACGCACCAGGAGGCGCATGCTGACCGCGCAGGGGAACTTCTCGAGAGCTTCGTCCTGTACAACGCCCTCTGGCCGCGGCACGTGACCCCAAACACACAACTTCGCAGCTTCGGCACACTTGTTCCAGGGACCTGCGCAAATTGGTTTGCCTTGAGGGCCGATGACCAAGCCGCCACAAGAAGACACCAGCGCGCTTGCCTTTTTTTTCTTCTGCAGGGTCCATCCCACTTGCTTGACCCAACAATTGCAAACGTTTCCTGGTGAGCGTGCTGCTGGAGCGCGCGTTGCAAACAATGCTAAATCTAAAACCATGACCAAACCACCAGAGCCAACAGGTCTGTTCAGGTCGATTTTGCTTCGGGCAAGCAACGCCAACACCCTGGTGAAAACAAAAGGAGGACTCTTTGCGGTTGACCATGTCTAGTGGGAAACACACCAAGCACATTTAACATGCTGGGTCCATTAAAGCGGCATCCTCCAAATTGATTACTCTCTAATTGGTGGCTTGAAGGGAAACCACCCGTACATTTCATGATAGCCCATAACTACGGATTGATTTTAACGTAGGAGCTGCAAGGGTGGGCAGGTATAAAATAAGCCAACCAGCCAAACGGTGGGGGCAAAAGGGCTCCAGCACATGGTCCAGCAGCGCAGAGGCGATGCCCTTGCGGCGAAAGTCCACGCCCACCGCCAGATTCCTCGATCGAGGAATCCAGCCGCGCAAGCGGGAGCAAAATCGGACATCACCAAGAAATCCTGATACCCCCTGGTTGATGAATAGGGAATGTCCCGTTTTAGTCGGGATTCATCACTTTGGGGGCGCGCCCCCTTATTGCTGAGAGTACGGTTTATTGATCCGGGGTCAATATTACTTGGATCTTCGTTGCCAAGTTAAGTGATTAGCGACTTGGTTGCAACCCAAGCGAAAAGCCTAACCCCCCTTGGAGAACATATGAGTGGGTCATAACCTAGGTTGCCAACAACTTACGAAGTTGCTCGAACACCGTACTTTGGGGAACTATGGCGAGGGGGGTGTCATCCCCCTTGCACCAGGTGGGATGACTGCCCATCCGCAGTTTCGTTTTCACAAGACGCACCTCTTGCGCTTTCCCCGCGCCTTCCTGTGCTGGACTCTTTGGTGGACATTTGCATCGGGATTTCTGACCAACGACTCTTGAGGGGTTCCTATAAATATCCATGGCCAGTGGACTCATTGTCTCACAAACCGAAGTGCTGCAAGCAAACAAAACATGGCAGAATCCAAAGGACAACTTTCGGGTATATATACACAGCAGATAACTTCAACCAGGGAAACCACAAACTCAAGATTCAAGGAAGTTCCCATACCAGGAACCGGATTGCTGGGGTTCCCACCAAGGTTCATGACGTGAATGCACTGCTCGCAAGTTTCCCCGAAGGGCTCGCAAGTCCAAGCGCAGTACCCCACAATCTTGCCCTCATCCAACGCGAGGTCCACAAAGGTGGGCACGGACAAAGGCCCAGGGCTTCGCTCAGAACTCGAGCGCCTGCAGTCTGCCAGACGGTCTGCGATCACCCGCTCCTCAACACGCTCAAAGCACCTAGGTGGTGAAAAGCTGGGACGTGGATCGCGTGGCAATGGAGGTTGTGCTGAAGCAACAGCAAAATGAGGGAGACGACAATTGATAAGACAAACAATTCAAATGGAGCCAAGCTGCTCCTCTTCTATAGCAAGTACTGCTGGGTCATCTGCCTTAGAACAAGGCCGGATCAAGGGCGCAGCGTGCCGACGCGGTGGCCGCCGTCCCATTCCACGGCCAGCCATCGGACTGATTTCTGCGCTTCGAAAGGCTTGGGCAGCAGAAAAAACTGCGACGGGAACGCTGTCCTGAATGCAAGGTCCATTCCGAACCTGTTTAGAGACCAATGGGAGTTAACACAGCAAGATGCAAAGAGATTTGCAAAGTTCAAACAACAAGAGAGTGAGAGAGTGCCTCCCTCTAAGTGCTGCTGCTGGTCACTGCTTCAAGCATCTTGGCCCCTGGGTCACAGGCTTCCATGTTTGCCGGTGCGGCCCGTTCAAGAAACCGGCTACAACGTGGGACTTTTGGACAGGAAGCCAGTCAATATCCAGTACCCTGGTTTTGGCCGGTGTTGGACTAGATCTCTCCAGCGGACCATGCCATTTGTCTAGAACCAAGGCCGCGTGAGCAACTATGGTCAACAACTAGGGCTCTTAGAGGCTGGTTCTTTCTTGGTTGCTGTTGACCGCTCTGCAAAACCTGCTTGACTTTTCTGGTTGAATAAGACCCCCCAAAAAAAAAAAAAAACAACAACAAGAAAAAACAAACAAGAAGTGGAATCCGGAAGATCCAACCGAAAATTCGCAAAACTCGGGTTTCAACACCTCCACGCTGCCGCCCCTTCCGCTTCGCTCCGCTTCGCTCCCCTCGGCCTGTCGAAATGGATCCCTCCCCTCGGCCTGGCGCAGAGGCGCCATGACGCTGTCCATGACGAAGATGGCCCAGGAGATGTGCCTCCGGAAGCGCGCGCGGAAGACTTGGGAAGGTGGCCTCATCTCCCGGCCCAAAAAAAAAGTTTGAAGCTTGCTGCTTACAAAGCTTACCACTACAATGGTCTTCCGAAAAGGTGTCAGGTCCAGGAAAGTCAGGAAGTATGGCACTAATCTTTTCATGCAGGTAAGGAAGGGGGATGACTGAAACCAGAATGGGGGAATAGTGCCATCTACTTCTCTCAACTGCGTCATAGTGCTGGGTTTACGGGGCATTGAGTTTTAATTCCAACGCCTCGAATACTGATTTATGGGGCAGTCATGGCGGTTCATTGTAGCATTCAAGATACTTAGCCGTTGAGTACCCCTGAATAGGCATCCATCGTCACTACTCAAACGAAATCACTTTGTGCCCCTGGGGTGCAAGAGCCCAATGTGTGTATAAAGATAGCATTTGAAACTATGTAATTGCACATGTATAAATACATGTATATATACATGTATGAATAAATAAACATACACAATATACAACATACAATATGCACACATATCTATATATGTGTACATGTGTTAATGTGTGCACACCCTAGGGGTCACGGTGGCTCAGCTGGTCCGGTCCCAAAGAGTCAATCCTGCGATGCATCTGGGGCCGGCACTCCGCTGCGTGCCCTGGGCGCGAAACATTGGGGAACAAGCAGCCAGCTTGTTCCACGCGGATGTACGCAGGTTGCACAGCTGTCTAAGATGTCGGTAAGGGGGGGATGACTATTCCAAAATAGGATACTTATGCCATCCATTTTCACACCGTACTTCAAACTAAATGCGGCATCTGACAGGAACACTTTACAACATGGAATGAACGGGATTCCAGAGGTTGTCACTCTCCCCCGATCTCACTCTGAAGGGGGCGCGAGTCATCCCACGCCACTGTTCTCCCCAGCCGAGTGTCGTGTGGGTGTTTCCACCTCTTGCATGCAGAAGCTGCACTGCAGGCCCGGCCGCAGCGGGCCCTGAGCGGAGGCCGCACAGGCGCTGTGCAGAACCGTGCCTCGTGCCGCGGTCAGGAACATGCCAACGTCTTGCAGGTTACCATGGCGGCTTTTCGTTGAAAGGAGCCCCACCGAAAATGGTACCTGCTTATGCATCCGCACAGGGAACAAGAAGGGGTTGAGGCACTGCTGAAATCACATTTCCGTGGTTCCTCCGCAACCAACTTAGTGTCAGCGGAAAGTGCCTTGCATTGGAGGAGTTGTTACGATGGAGATCCTAAGAGCTTTGTAAAGCCTTCTGCCGTCCCCAAGTGCAAGGGGCTAACAAATTCCAAGTGTAAGGGGCTAAACAATTGCAGTATCTTGTGATCACGACTCAGTTTTGCTTTGAAATGCCACCCCCCCTCCCCCCACAACCCCCGGTCAGTCGTTTAGGCCAATGCAAGATAAGTCCACTCATTTCGCCCAGGCACGCCGGCAAGGGCAGAACACCACGGGGCGGGTGTCCAGCTCAAATGTGGCCGTGCACATGGGGCACGCGCGGTTCCCAAGGTCCATGGTCTGTACCTCAGCATCGGCTTGTTGGGCCTAAGTGGGTAACCTGGTCAGATGTTCAGACAGGCTGACGCTCCAACTACCAAACCAGAGAAAGCGAACCAACCTGGGTTCTTGAATTGTGTTCTTTGGGGGTGGGGGGATCCCGGCTTTCCCAATCGGCAACCGACCACGGGACGCCACGAATTACGGCAAGCCCCTTCAGTACCATCTGGCATGAGGATCAAGACTTGACTGTTAACAAGCAAATCTAAAGCTCCCAAAAGCTCGAACAACTCAAAAAAAAACACACCACTACCAAAGTGCGGCATTTACAGCAACATTGCATAAGCGCTATTGCCCCTCCAGCTGCAAAAGCTTAGGCCAATGAGACCTGAAACGCTGTGGCGGGAGCAATGTTCTTGAAGTCCCAGATTCACCCATTTAACAGTCAAGGTGCCACGACCAGACCTGTTGCCATGAGAGTTGCTGAAGGAACAACTGCAGCTTTGGCCAAGTCCAACAACTTCGCCGAGCTTTGCTTGTCCAACACTTTGCACAGATGGCGCGCGCAAGGGGCACCCAACAAGTCGACATCGTCTTTGGTCACTGGTTGGGATGACAACTTGTTTGTCCCGTAAAAAGAACCAACTGAAACAAAAGACAGGTAAGGGGCTGCCTCTCAACCGGGAGCAGTTCAATCCTCGGCCCGGCTCCCCATCTACTCCCTGAGGGCAGGGCCACGTATGCCTGGGCTAGGCACAGGCTCCAAGCTCACGAAGGGGGAGTTGGACCCAAAAAACCGAAGAAGAGCGAGGAGGACCTCCGCCATAAAAATGAATCCCTAAAATAAACTGCACTATCGCTATCTTATCGTTCAAGTATTTTTACATTGATGGCAAAGACCTTTTCTATGTTGGGGTAGGATTACTGCAATTTGCAACTCTTCAAAAATGGGGTTGTCAGCTCTCCCCATTTTGCTCCAAGATTCCACCAATACTAAACTAAAAGGCCTCCCCACCCCCACCCCGAAAGTTGCTGCAGCCCCCGAAGCCAGAACAACCTGCCAGAAAAGGGGCTTTCCTTTTTGCTTAGTATTCGCTCGATCTGTGCCTACTCCTTATTGAACCCCTCAAGGTTTCCCGAAGAGTGTGCTTCCTCCAGAATGCAGCTGTCTTGCTGAAGTTTGTTTAAAATGACAAGGCGTTCAAGCTCACAAAGGGGACCTTTGCTCTGAGGCCAGCCCCCCTTGCACTAACAGAACCCCCGCCGGTTGGGTTCAAAACAAAAAATGCTGTTGCCGTTTAACATCCTATTGCCCAGAAGGGGCCAAGAAGGCAAGGACCGAAAAGCCTCTCCAGGTTGCTGTTTACAGCTCACCTGGCTGGGAAGGGGCCAGAAGCAAAGAACGAGGGCCGAACGGGCTCGTTGTTAAACAAGGGGCTTCCAACGATCTCATTTTTGGGGGGTTGTCCAAACCTTGCCGACCTTGAAGGGGGGTGCGGGGGGGAGGGCTTTTCCAATCAGGGGGTAGCCATAGAGGGACCTGGACCACTGATTAGCTCTCGTTGCCCCCGGAGGGCGGTGACCTCCTCATGCAATACATATATATATATATATATATTTGCATATACATGTACGGCATATACAGTAGTATGTGCATATATGTGTTTGTTGTTATTCGAAATTTCTTTATTGGCCTAATTATGTATATACTGAAAATATATATATGCACATATGTGTATATGTAGGCATAGATGCTTTATGTATAAATAAATAAATACATATATATATATATACATACAAATATATCCGTTTCTATGGTGTGCAGATAATCTACGTGCTGGGTTCTAAATGTATGTGCCTGGGGTAACAGAGTTTGATTGCTATTGATTGGATCTGAGGGAACACCCAAAAAGGCGCCAAGGGGCTCCCTCGCGGTTCCTGTGCAGCATCCCGAAGCGGTGGGGCCAGGTCGCCAGGGCCTCGCTGAATCAATCCACGCATGGCCAGCGACAAATCCCACCCGTTCGTAAACCTGACTCTGCCACTGAATTTCTGGTTTTGGTGCCTTGAAATGCCCAGGGCGCCGCAAACAGAAACCGCCAGGACAGTTTATCAGAAGCCCAGCGAAGTAATGAAGTCCTGGACAAAGCTTGAACCACTTGGCAATGTCTTGTCTTGGGGCCTACCCGGTTGAGAAGGCACCCACAGGCCACTCTGGAGACAAACCTGCACCTTGACTAGACTCCCTCCTTGGCGCATGCAGCACACACGCCACGCACCAAGCATTTTGTGAGCTGCACCATGCCGCATGCTCAGAGCATTCACTTGCCCAAAGGATCCGAACATGAAACACTCCAGCACCATGACTTCACCAAGTCTGACCGAACGTGGCGACTGCCAAAGGTGCGACGGAGAAAACCTCCGGCCTTCTTTTCCAAGGGCACTGGCTGTGCCACCAGGAGCACCACGGAGTAGGGGAGCCAACCTGAGCAAAAATCATAGTTAGCCTGGGTAGATGGCACTACTCAATTGAGAGGCAAGGGGATGAAAGGGAACATGTACGGAGCAACAAACACACACAACTCCCGGTTCACCAGTTCATAACTGTATTTAGTTTCCAAGTACCCCACAACCCTGTTCTAGTTATGTAGGCCCTTGCAGAAAAACTGTTTGGCTTCCAGGGTCACATGCAACTTTGCTCTTGCCCCCCAAAACAGCAACTCCTGTAGCGTCCCAGCTTCCAGCATGACAGCTACTAGGAAAGCCAACCCCAGAGGCAGAATCGCAAGTGGTTGGCAAAACCCATATCACCAAACCAGCTCTATACACATCTAGACATGTATATATATATACATATATGAGTATGTAAGTATGTGTGTATATGTACATTCATATATACTAATATATGTATATGCTGTCAATGTATGCTTGTGTTATCATAGGTACTTGTATGGTAGCAGAACCCGGTTCCACCAAGCTGGCTCTGAGCCATCAGCTATTCTTGATGGGCTTCGTCTCTTCGGGCGTCACGGCCACATTGTGGTATCCTCAGCCGGTGGAACGAAGGCCGCTGCCAACATGTTGGCGACGTGGTTGCGGCCGAGCCAAGCATCCATAACAAAGGATGCCTCATGCTGCGTTTGTCCCCATTGATGGGAAAAAAAACAGGGATATCACATCGCTTGCATCATGATGGCCCCAGCATGAAAGCTGACCATGCCCTGCCCAAAGAGTGGATGCAAGAGGCGATGCCACCCCCCCCCCCCCTGAATTCTCACTGACAATGGAGCCACAAACGCGAAAACTGGTCATCCCCGACCTCAGTGGCGAAGTTCGCAAAGTGAGCCCCATCACGGCCACTCAAAAGGGTGCCCCAAGTGGGCAAGTCCTCTCCCAAGAAGATGGCCCAGGGAGGCACTCCAACGCATAGGGGACGAGCTCCTTCTGTTTTCCGGCAAGGCTCGGCACTTTGGGTCCAACCCCTCTGGCAGCTTCCGCGACAGGCAGGTTTGGTCCTGCATGGCTGAAGCTTAAAGCTGGCGTAGTCACAGTGGGCAGGCCCCGATTTGTCCTACAAAGAACGAGGCGATTTGGTGGGATACCCCATGTTACTCCTCGGTCTGCGAACTGCAATGCTTGCTTGTTCTCCGCGAGGAATGTGGGAATGAACCGTCGCTCCAAACAAATTGAATCGGTCTTGCTGGGAATAGTTACGGCGTTCATTCACCTGCTCCCTACTTAGAGCAAGCAGGCACAAACGCAGGTTTCCTCCTGCAGAGGGTAAATGCGAGGCAGTGCTCACAACGAACCAAACTACTGTGATGAAACCCCAATGCAAACAACATAAATTAGGGATGGATGGTAGCGGAGGGTGCGGGCTCAAGGCTGGGGGCAAGGAAAGGGACGTGCCAAACATCCGAATCCCTTCAGCGGTATGGAGGATGAATTTCGAAGTGCGACACGAAACCAAAGCGCCACTAACAGTTGAAAACCGTGCACCACGACAGCGGCTCCTCCTCTGTCAGGCATCTAGGCGTCAAGAAGACGCGCCTCACAGGGTTCCGTTGTCGTCTTCTGCTCGCGTCTTCTGTTTTGAGCCCTTGAAACTCGGCCTGCACTTGAACCGTCCCGTTTGGAAAATGCTGATGCTCAAGGTGCCCGCCAAAGGAAGGGCCAACACAAAGAAGTGCCTGGCTGGGGTGTTAAAGCCATAAGTCATAAGGTTAGCTACATGCCACCCCCCTGTTCAAGCAAGCATGGGCAGCCTCAATGAACGTCATCCCTTAGTTCAGACTCGGTGGTGTGTTCTCACTTTTCGGTAGGTTCCCGTGGCGGGAGCCACATGCAGGCATCAGTTCAGCTTTCAATCCCAGGTGTCTAGCCTAAAAAGGTTGGCGAGACGGTGCTGGCCATGCACCGCACCCCCCAGCAGGTCACCAACACATGAAACTCAAAGCAGCAAATGACAAGGGCATCAACAAACCACGAACCCACAGGTCCAGTGCGCACATGTTTGTCTAAGCGGGTGTTCTCCAGAGCCAGCCCCCCAAATGGATCGCCAAAATGCCAGCAGCTGGTCATGCTGGTCTGCTGAAAGGACTGGTGCACGGAGGCACGGGCATCGTCCAACATCGGGGCAGCGAAAAAACCTCAGCTGCGGGTTCTGAGCGCAGGGACGTGCTGAAACCCAAGAAATCAAACCTGTGCTGAACGACTGTGTGGGGCAAGAACGTGAACTGCCAACCAATTAAGAAACCTCAGGTGACATCGAATGAAAACCCTGAAGGGACAGCCAGGTAAACAGGATCGCATCATCCTGGAGCAAAGCAAACAGCTGAAAGACCAAAATGCTTCTAGTCAGGTCTTCAAGAACTGGGCTATTTAACTCATTGCAACCCGTAGTACCTGTAAAAGGCCACTGGATCACATTGGATGGATGTGTGGGCGACGAAGCCATGGCAATTAATTCCTGGAGGTCGAGTGACTGAGTTGCCACCTTTCAACCCTGGCCTTGCCCA